ACTCAAACACACACACACACACAACACACACACACAACACACACAACACACACACACACACACACACACACAGACACACACTCAAACACACACACACGGAGGTGACTGTATGTAAATGAATATCAAAACGAAAAAAAAATCATAGGTCATTTTTCAGATTTATGTTTAGGGAAAGAGGGGGGGGGGAGGGAGAGGAAGAAGAGGGAGGGAGGAAGAGAGAGGAGAGGAAGAAGAGAGGGAGGGAGGGAAGGAGGGAGAGGAAGAGAAGAAGAGAGGGAGGGAGGGAAAGTGGGAGAGGAAGAGGAGGAGGGAAGAGGGAGGAGGGAAGAGGGAGAGGGAGAAGTGAGGGAGAGAGAGAGGAAGAGAGAGAAAGGAGAAAAGAGGAAGAGGAAGGGAGGGAGGAAAGAAGGAAAGAGAAGAGAGAAGAAGGAGAGAGAGAGAGAGAGAGAGAGAGAGAGAGAGAGAAGAGAGAGAGAGAGAGAGAGAGAGAGAGAGAGAGAGAAGAGAGAAGAGAGAGAGAGAGAAAGACAGGAAGATAAAGATGTGGAGATAAAGAAAATACCAAAAAAAAAAAAAAAAAGACAAAGACCAAGAGAAAAGCTTGAGAAATCCTCCCCCTCCCCCTTCCCCCCTTCCCCCCTTCCCCCTCTTCTTCCCTCGAGCTAAAAGCCCTTCCCTCTCCCACAGTCGTCGACTTCAGGGCCAACGAAGTGGAGTTCCGCTGCTGTGACTTCAGGGTGAGTGTCCGGCTGCCGGTCGAAGCGAAACTGAAACTGAACGAGTGGGAGGCAGTGTGCTTCTCCGCCAACCTCAGGAACGGGAGTCTGCGCTTCTGGCATCGAGAGCAGGACACCCGACGTAGGATTTCTGTTTTTTTCTTTTTATGTGTCTGTTGCATGTGACTGAATGCTTATGTTATATATATAGGTGTGTGTGCGTGTGTGTGTGTCTGTATTTATATATCTATATCTATCTATCTATCTATCTGTCTATCTATATATATGCATATATATATACACGGGGTCCTCGGTTTACGACGGTCTCGACTTACGACGTCTCGTGGATACGACGCTTCCATTTGTTAGCCCTTGTAATGTTTTCATGTACGTCATAGAAGTGTCTTGTTATGCTTATCATGTCCATACGTACATGTTCTGTATTTAGGTGTGTTCCGACTCAAGTAGAGGACCCCCTGTATATACTGAGCATCAGACTCCATAAACTACCACATTGATTTGAGTTCGAGGGCTCGTGTTATGGCCAGCGTGTTGTTCCCTGGGCAAGGAACTTCACCTCGATCGCCTGCTGCCCACATCCGATATGTTGGTGAAAGCGAGCATGCTGTTGTAAAATCGCACTTCACACTCTATGATGGATCGCGCACAAAATGCAATTTAGAGGCGCCGCCCCGAAAAGGTGAAGCATGTGCCTACGCCCGAAAAGCTGACGCCATATTTAAAGGGAATGTGAGATCTCAGACCGTGCCCAGTCGCCTCTATGTTTTTAGGTTGTTTAAGGGGTCTATAAGGGGTATACGAGTATTCAACCCATATCCACTCTCATTTACTCTGTGATAGCTTTCCATAGCACCCTTGATCACCTCTGTAACCCATTCCGTTGTTTAGGGGTGTATTTAAGGGGTCTATAAGGGGGTCTTTAAGGGTCATGAAAAATTTCCTACCATACCCAGTCTAATTTAGTAATTTACTCTGCGGTAGGTTTCCATAACACCCTAAATAAACCTGCAATCATGTACTGTTGCTTCAATATTTAAGCGGTATTTTAGTTTTTTTTTCGCGTCCTGACTCCTTATCGGAACTTAACATAGCCTAAGCCACGCAGGACCTCGAGACCTTTCTAACGAGCCCAAAAACTCCCCCCAACTCCTTGTGGTTGCTGAGAAAAAGTGAACATAAATAGGCCTCTGGTTATGGTTTATGGTTTTACGGTATATAATATATAGCCCTGTGGCCAGCCAGGGCCCGAATAATGGGTTGCAAATGAGAGACAGCAGAGGATAGACCAAGTTGGAGGCAGCGTATCCGAAAAGACCGACCCAAATAGGTGTAAAATAGTGCAATTTAACCGTTTGTTTTCTTAAAAGGAAAGAAAGAATTTGATTTAGTTGATAAGTATCCATGGAAAGCCATTCAAACAGCGCTCCATTACCCATACTCCTTTGCGTGCGATATCGCTGCATCAACTCCTGCAGCTCCCCCCCCCCCAAAAAAAAAAAAAAAAAAAAAAAAAAAAAACAAGGCATTGCTGTCTCTATTGGGTGGGCCAAATCTCCCTTTTCCGTCCTTTTGAGTGACAGCGAGCGAGGAGTGCAGTTTAAGAGCAAGTTGTTAGTTTGCAGTCCTTATTGGGATACAAAGTGAGTGTTGTCAGTGTGTTTATTTAAGATTATTGTACTTTGTTGTTTTGTGACATAATGGAAGTTGCCCCACAGCCAAGACCTATTATTTTATGATGCTCTTGCTTTAAATAGGAATGCCTTGGGAAGCTTCTAGAACTTCTTTCAATATTGGGATAATATTCGTCATTATGATTTTCAGATTTCGTGATGCGCTGATTCTCTTATTATGCAGATTACTGAAATTCATTTATTTGCATCTGTATTTTGTTTTGCATAAATTCCGGGAACCTTATATTCAAATTAATGTTCATCTACATAGTGCCGGTGCATCGAGAATAAATGTGGAACCCCCACAGAAGTTATTCAGATTCCTTTAAATTAGGGTTGAACCAACATATTGCATCAGACAATAGGGATTAAGCCGGTGATGAAAAAGAAGAAGAAAAAATATATATATATGCATATGAAAATGAAACTAGCCACAATGAGAAATTGAAAAATAAGCGTGACGTTTCGAATCTTCACGAGTTCCTCATCAGACGAAAATTGTGGCTAGTTTCATTTTCATCTTTGTGTTCACGTGATTGTGTTTGTGCTTGTGTTCATATATACATATATACATCACATATTATATTATATATATATATATATATATATATATATATATATTATATACATATATATATCACATATATGCATATATACGTTAATTGTGTCTGTGTGGTTAAAAGCAAGGTTAGAACTAGGATAGTATATATTTTTTTGAGATTTTGTTTTCTTGGTGACTAACTAGAAATATCATTAGGAGGAGGTAAGGCGTAAAATGCTATTAGGAAGACGAAGCATAAACTGAGATAGCCGTAATAAATGTCCTTTGTGTATATTGTACATGCATGTCATCTTCGTGAGGAATTGTGAATCTCAAGAGGGCTTCACTCCAGGGCAGCTGAACGGGACTCAGATTCCTGCAGCGGTGAGAGGCCCCGGGGTCGCGGTCGTCGGTCGCCTTCAGAACAGACACGACGGCGGGCTGACGGAGGGCTTCGCTGGCTCCGTCGGCGGCCTCACGCTCTCCGACGCCATCATCGGCCAGAAAGAGGCTGAGGACTTCATCGGCGACTGTAAGAGGGTTCTCACGGGGATTCTGAGCATGAACACCATGGAGGAACTCGGCCGCGACTGGGAGTTGTCCGACGGCGTGGTTCATTCGGCGTTCAGCTTGTATGAACTTTGTCAGGTGGAGAACTTGCCCCTGATGCTGCCGGGGATGTACAGCCACGACGAGGCGGCCGGCTTCTGCAGGAGCGCCGGAGGTTCTCTTCCGGGAGATGACGACGCCGACTCTCTGCGAGTAAAGTTTGGAAATTTTGTGGCTCGTTGTCAAAACCCTTTCGAGGCGTGGCTGTGGCTGGGACCCGTCAAGCTCTATGAGAAAGGACAGTGGACGCTTGTCACAAGCGACGTCCAGGATGGCTCTGCGAGGCTTTGCCGCTCTCTCCACCCGACGGAGGACGCGGCGGTGGATGTGCCCTGCGAGGAGAGGGTGTGCGCGGCGTGTCTGGTTCCTCGGCGCCCCGTCCTCACCCTCCGGCGTGGCTGCGAGGAGCTTCGGGATCGAGTCTTCTCTTACGTGTTCATAGACTCTGGTCCTCCTCAGCTCGGGTCTGCCTTTGGCTCTGAGATAACGTGGGAGGGCGACCGATGGACTCTGTCTGATGCGGGAGGAACCGAGCTGTTTTCCACCGATGGGGCAGGCAGCGCAGGCCCAATCCTGCCGCTCGGGACGCACACCTGGGAAAAGAGACATTCCGACCTGGAGTGCCCGACGGAGACCCAAGTCCTCCTCTCCCTCTGCGAACCCGACCGCCTCTCGTGCGACGACGGCCTCACCTGCCTGCCAACGTCGTCCCTGTGCGACCAGATGGTCGACTGCGTCGACGGAAGCGACGAACGCGACTGCACGCCCGCCCCGAGGTGGGAGGGGGACCCGACCCTCCCTCCGTCCCCGCTCTCGCCCAACGACACCACCCACGTCAGCCTCCTCTTCACCGCCTTCTCGCTGGAGGCGCTCGAGCCCACCACCTTCGCCGTAGAGGCCCGCGTGTCGCTCGAACTCCAGTGGAACGACCCGAGGGTTACCTTCCGCAACTTGGTCGAGGGTGAGACTCCCGTCCCTCCACAGGCGGGGATGTGGGCGCCCAGGCTTGAGGGCATGTGGGCGCCCTCCGAGGTCACCCGCATGACCCAGGTCGACCAGATGTCTCTCACGGCGGTCAGAACACAGCACGAACCCGACGTCAACCTCTTCACTCAAGGTCAGTTGCATTCCTCCTTGATGGCAGAGGTCATTATTCTGTCACTGCTGACCTTGTCTCTTACCGCAGGAAGAAACTTCGTCCCGAAGGTACTCAAATGACGATAAAAAAAGACAATCACAACGCCTGCGAAATCTAATCTAATCATAAATCTAACCCAAGAATAAATAAATCTAATCCCAACCACACAGCTCTGGAATATTCCGGCCGCTGGCACCCGTGGAAGGTTCGCCACACCATCCTGGTCAGCTCCTCGTGCCAGTTCCAGATGCGGTACCATCCCTTCGATCTCCAGCAGTGCAAGTTTTCACTAAGCTTCCAGGTAG